GTCAGGACTAATGTGGTCGTACTTCCTGGTTCTAGTCAGGACTAATGTGGTCGTACTTCCTGGTTCTAGTCAGGACTAATGTGGTCGTACTTCCTGGTTCTAGTCAGGACTAATGTGGTCGTACTTCCTGGTTCTAGTCAGGACTAATGTGGTCGTACTTCCTGGTTCTAGTCAGGACTGGAGCTGCTGCATTTTGAATGTACTGCAGCTGTTTTACAGCCTGTTTGGACAGACCTGTGAGCAGGCCATTGCAGTAGTCTAACCTACTGGAGACAAATGCATGGATAAGAATCTCCAGGTCTGCTTTAGACACTATGTTTTTGATCCTGGCAATGTTTTTTAGATGGTAAAAAGCTGCTGATGTTACTGATTTGATGTGGCTATTAAAATTTAAGTCTGAGTCCAGTATTACCCCTAGATTTCTGACCTTGTTTGAAGGTTTTAGGGAGAGAGACTGTAGGTGACAGATGACGCTCTCTCTTTGTTTCTGGGGACCAAAGACAATCATTTCAGTTTTGTCTGCGTTTAGCTGAAGGAAGTTGTTTTGCATCCACTCACTGATCTGTTGGATACAGTGAAGGAGTGAGTCCACTGGTCCATGTTCTCCTGCAGTCAGTGAGACATAGATCTGAGTGTCGTCTGCATAGTTATGATAGGAAACTTCGTTTCTGCGTATTAACTGACCTAACGGCAGCATGTAGAGATTGAACAGAAGAGGTCCCAGGATCGACCCCTGTGGGACTCCACAGGTCAGGGCCATATGATCTGAGACACAGTTTCCAATCTCCACAAAGTACTTCCTGTCTTCAAGGTAAGACCTAAACCAACTTAGGGCGGTGCCAGCGACGCCAACCCAGTCCTCTAGTCTCTGTAAGAGGATCTCATGGTCGACAGTGTCAAAGGCAGCACTTAGATCTAACAAGATTAAGATTGAGACTTTGCCTGCGTCAGTGTTCAGCCGGATATCGTTTGTAACCTTAACGAGAGCAGTCTCAGTGCTGTGGTGGGGTCTAAAGCCGGACTGAAACATATCAAATGAGTTGTTGATTATAAGAAATCTAGTAAGCTGTAGGTAGACAACTTTCTCAAGGACTTTCCCCATAAATGGCAGATTTGAGATGGGACGATAGTTGTTAAGTACCGTAGCATCGAGACTGCTCTTTTTTAGCAGGGGCCTGATGACTGCAGTTTTCAGGGCCTTTGGGAATATTCCAGAATGAAGGGATATGTTTACTATCTGTGTGAGTAAAGGTAACAGACTGCTCAGAACAGACTTCAGAAATCTAGTGGGTAGTACATCCAAGCTGCATGTGGAGGAGCTCAAACTGGAGATTATCTCTTGGACAGTTTGATCATCTACAGGTGCAAAGTGAGTTAGCTCAAAGAGCCTTTCTGGCTGTTGGATGGTTATCTGTGGATTGGAGACAATGGCGTTTTTGATGCCTTGAACCTTGTCATTGAAAAAATTAGCAAGCTCATTGCATTTACGTTTGGAAGTAAGCTCTAATGGCATCTGAACAGGGGGGTTTGTTAATCTATTAACTGTTGAAAACAGAACACGCAGATTGTTGCTGCAGCCTTCAATCATTTCAGAAAAATACCTTTCTCTCGTACTACGTAGCACCCGGTTAAACTCGCACAACTTATCTTTGAAGATCTCGTAATCTACCTGGAGGTTGGACTTGCGCCACTTCCGCTCGGCCCTCCGGCACTCTCTATTTTGTGCCCTGACAGAGTCTGCTTTAGCCCACGGCGCCTTCTGCTTATTTTTCACTATTTTAACCTTCACAGGGGCAACGGTATCCAGAACATTCAAAACACTGGAGGTGACAGAGTTAAACAGTTCATCTACAGTAGAACACGATGCATTCTCAAAGTTTATCATTTCCATAAATAGTTCACTCGTATTTTCATTTATGTGTCTTCTTCGAACAGTTGCAGAGTCCACTGGTGGTTTGTTTGTGAAACACATGTCAAAAAATACACAGAAATGATCCGAAAGAGCAACATCGACCACGTTTACATTTGAAATGTTCACCCCCTTTGTAACTAACAGGTCTAGAGTGTGCCCTCTGCTGTGGGTGGGGCCACTTACGTGCTGAGTGAGATCAAAGGATTCAAGTAAAGAACTCAGCTCATTTGCATTTCTGTCATCAACATTATCCACATGAATATTAAAATCACCTGTAATAACCAAACTATCAAAATCTGTGCATACAACTGAAAGCAACTCGGTAAAATGATCAATAAAACTGTGACATGACTGCGGTGGCTTGTATAGGACAACGAAGAGTATTGGAGGAGATTGTTTTTGTTGTATTTTAAAAGACACATATTCAAATGACGACAAGGGGCGACAGTAGCTCAGTTGGTAGAGCATTGGCCTTAAGGCCAGAAGGTCGTGGGTTCTATTCCCACCTCTGCACCTTCTCCACCGACTCCCACTGATGACTGCTGTCGTTGTGTCCTTGGGCAAGACACTTAACCCCACTTTGCCCAAAGCCCCCACTGAAAGATCAAGGCTATGCTCACACTCAGAGAGCAGCCGTCCTCCTGTGGACTCACCACCTGCAGAGGATCAGTGAGGGGCTGGTGCTATGAGACTTGGGTGGCATCTCTGACTGCCACCCCCCTGACCCAGGAATGGATTAAAGGGTAGAAAATGGATGGATATTCAAATGACGAAAACTTCCCAAGAGACATTCTATGGGAGACAAAGTGGTCTCTAAAAATGGCAGCTAAGCCTCTTCCTTTTTTGTTTTCCCGTATTTCAGATTCAAATTTGAAATTTGGTGGTGACGCTTCTATTAAAACTGCATTTTCTGTATTTTGGTCAAGCCATGTTTCAGCCATGAACATAAGATCTAGATTATAAGAACAAATAAAATTATTGATTAAAAAAGACTTGTTACAAAGAGATCTGACATTTAGCATAGCAAGTTTCAAAGTTTCAGTATCAGCGGTTGTGGTCGGCTGATTCTTACACGGAACAAGAATTAGATTTTCCAGATTAGACTGATTAACTCCAGATGTTTTTCTGTAATGTATTCTTTGTGTTATCACTAAGGGAATGGCACAGGTGGCTTCATGACAGGGCCCCAGCCGGGTCTCTCCTCTAACTAGACTGCCAGTGGCTGCGAAGCAGAGACCCTGTGCATCCTAGTGTTTAGAGAAAAGAGGGGAAGGGGAAGGCGGGGGAGGAGGAGGATTCAGATTCAGTTTATTTGCCATTTGCAGTAAAACCACATTGGAATACATTAGCGAAAAGTCTCCAGTGTGCACAGACAAATACAGACATAAAACAACATTAAAAGACAGAAATAAAACAAATAAAACAGTAAACACCTCCTGTGGACTCACCACCTGCAGAGGGTCAGTGAGGGGCTGGTGCTATGAGACTTGGGTGGCATCTCTGACTGTCACCCCCCTGACCCAGAAATGGATTAAAGGGAAGAAAATGGATGGATGGATGGAAAACAGTAAACAAATGTCACTGTGAAATCGATTGACTAAAACAGTTTCAAAACAAGTGCAAATCATTAAAGTGCTCTGTTCACACTGATAACAGCTTGTGGATAAAAACTGTTAGCGTAACGAGATGTCCTGCATCTCAGAGAGCGATATCTTCTGCCAGAGGGAAGAAGCTGGAACATGGCTTTCCCAGGGTGGCCAGAAGAGTCATTAACAATCCTAAGAGCTTTGTTTAAAAGTCTGGATTTATAAAGAACCTCCAGAACAGGAAGCTCACAGCCCACGGTCCTCTTTGCAGAGCGGAGCACCTTGTTTAAAGCTCTCTTTTCTTTATCTGTGATGTTTCCAAATTACACAGACACAGAACCAACAAGTAAACTCTCAATGGTGCAGCCATAAAAGTTAAGCACAATCTTAGAGTTAGTGGTAAATTCTCTAAGTTTACGCAGAAAGTAGAGACGCTGACGAGCTTTCTTAACGACTCGGTCAGTGTTTTTAACCCATTTCAGGTTAGACAGAGTTAAACCCAGAAACTTGCACTCCTCTACGATCTGCACCTGGGAGTTGTCGATTACGACAGGCAAATGAGAACTATTGCGACTGAAGTCGTAGACCAGTTCACATGTTTTGGATGCGTTCAACTGGAGGTTGTTAGTTTGACTCCACTGAACCACATTTTGTATCTCTGCTCTATAAGAGGATTCATCAGTGTCACTGATGAGACCGATGATGGTGGTGTCATCAGCATATTTGATGATCAAGTTTGAGTCAGAGGAGGACACACAATCGTGAGTGTACAAGGTAAAAAGCAAAGGACTCAAAATACATCCCTGAGGAGAACCAGTGCTCACAGAAACAACATCAGAAAAACACTCATTGATTTTCACTCTCTGAGATCTGTCAGTTAAAAAGCTAAAAATCCATTTACACATGGCAACACTTAAACCGCATCCGCGGACGGAGAGGTGGGTGGCTTTTGGGTGTTGAACGAGGGGGGCAGGGAGGTGGAGGGGTTTTAGGTGATGGGTTAGGGCCGGGGTGGGCTGAGGCAGAGGTTTTGGATGTTGAACGAGGGGGAAGTTGGGGTGGAATGGTCATGAGGTTAGGGGAGGGACTGGCTGAGGTGGTTTTTGTAGGTGAATTGGAAACCCTAGGTGGTTTTGGAGGTACATATGGGGAGTGGTTTAGAATGTTGGACAGGACTCTAGAGCGAGCTAATATGGGTGTGAGAGGAATAGTCTTCATCGCCGATTTTATTAGCCCTGCAGAGTGTTCAGGTAGGTCTAACAGTGAAGGCGGGGATGAAAAACAAAGGGAGGTGTCCCCATTCTCTCTTGATGGAGTGGACGTGGCAGGGGGGACCCAAGACAGGTCCATGGGAGGTGGCGAGGGAGTCTTTGATGGAGGGGCAGGTGGTTGAGGAAACCCCAGCACAGGCCTGTCTGCTGTAGGCTGGGGTGAGGATGAGGGCTTCAGAGGCGCTGTAGATGAAGAAGGCGTGGCTGCTTTGGAGCAGGCTGGGGATGAGGATGTTGGTGGTGGTGGTTGTGCTGCTGGTGCTGCTACTGGTGATGATGCAGCTGCTGCTGGGGATGATGCAGCTGCTGCTGGTGATGATGCAGCTGCTGCTGGGGATGATGCAGCTGCTGCTGGTGATGATGCAGCTGCTGCTGGTGATGATGCAGCTGCTGCTGGTGATGATGCAGCTGCTGCTGGTGATGATGCAGCTGCTGCTGGGGATGATGCAGCTGCTGCTGGTGATGATGCAGCTGCTGCTGGTGATGATGCAGCTGCTTCTGATGACAGTGGAGGTGTTGAGATCCTTCGAGGTGGTGGAGGTGTTGAGATCCTTCGAGGTGGTGGAGGTGTTGAGATCCTTCGAGGTGGTGGTGGTGTTGAGATCCTTCGAGGTGGTGGTGTTGAGATCCTTCGAGGTGGTGGTGGTGTTGAGATCCTTCGAGGTGGTGGAGGTGCAGAGACTTTTAGAGTCGGCTTCCTCCCTTTCGATGGCTGCACGCGCTGCGCAGGCTGAGGTCTCAGGGCAAAAGAAAGGTTATCCATCAACACTTTTACTCCGTAAGTGTTCAGATGTGGCCCTTTCCCTTCAAAAAGCTCATGCCTATTCCAGAACAGATTCAAATTCTCAATGAAAGCAAGTCCTCTGCGTGAACATTCGTTGAGTAGGAAAGTATTTAGCTGATACAGACGACTGAATTTAATTTGCTTCCCGTCCACATTTGATAGTGGGCCACTGATAACGATTGTTGTGTCCATTTTAGCAAGGTCGTCCAATAAGAGAGAGTAATCCCGTTTCAACTTTTCACTTGTGTTGTCATAGACGTCTACTGCCCCCACGTGGATCAACAATCTTTTTACCCCGCCGGTCTCAGACAGAAGCCTCGGAGCCAACCGCCTTATCTCATCCACTTTGGCAGAGTGTACTGAGTGAACCTTGAGATTACGCATGTTTACATGTCTTATCGCAGAATCCCCGATAAAGAGCGACTCAGCTGCATTTCACCTTGACTGAGACTGAGACTGGGACTGAGAGGCTACTGCTGATTCATCTTCCAAAAGTGGTGAAAAGCGGTTTCTTGTAATTAAAGATTTTTGCTGTGGCATTATGACACTCTTGTTATCATTAGCTTTGCCTTGTTTGGGCTTGGCACCATATGTGTTCCAACAATTGTCTCTGTTGATTTTGGGAAATGAAATAGCGTCATCATAACTTACGTTCTGTCCATTTGGTCCATTTCCTTTCACTGGTATTGTTGTGTTCAGCCCCAATTCTGATTCAAGCACAAACATTCGGTCTTGAAGAAGTTTTATCTCCTGTTTGAGTGAAAAACAGCCGTCGCAAAGTTTTGTTCTTTTTTCCCGTCCTCCTGACATGCTGTAAGTTAGGTAAATTCCACAAGTCCTGTGTTGAAGTTTGTAAAAAGGAGTAATCCGTGTTTTGTGGGATAAAAATGTAAGCAAAAATGATTAAAGGAGATTAAAAAGCAGCAAGCGAGGAGCAGCAAGAGAATGCGACTGCTCTGTCCAGAGCAGGAAGTAAGTGTGTGTGTGTGTCTGTGTCCCTGTGACCATGTGTGTGTATTGACCATGTGTGTGTGTCTTTGTGACTGTGTGTGTGTGTATGTACTGACCATGTGTGTACTGACCATGTGTCCCCTGCAGAGTACATCCTGTCCTATGCTCCTGCCATGAAGCCGTTTGGGATGAAGAGCCTGACGTTCCCGGGCAGCTCGTCCTCGGTGACGGTGGACGGTCTGACTCCTGGAGAACGATACATCTTTAAGATCAGAGCCACGAACCGCAGAGGACAAGGACCACAGAGCAAGGCCTTCAGCGTGGTCATGCCCGGACCACAGAGCAAGGCCTTAGGACCACAGAGTAAGGCCTTAGGACCACAGAGCAAGGCCTTAGGACCACAGAGTAAGGCCTTAGGACCACAGAGTAAGGCCTTAGGACCACAGAGTAAGGCCTTAGGACCACGGAGTAAACCCTTAGGACCACAGAGTAAGGCCTTAGGACCACAGAGTAAGGCCTTAGGACCACAGAGTAAGGCCTTAGGACCACAGAGTAAGGCCTTAGGACCACGGAGTAAACCCTTAGGACCACAAAGTAAGGCCTTAGGACCACAGAGTAAGGCCTTAGGACCACAGAGTAAGGCCTTAGGACCACAGAGCAAGGCCATAGGACCACAGAGTAAACCCTTAGGACCACAGAGTAAGGCCTTAGGACCACAGAGCAAGGCCTTAGGACCACAGAGTAAGGCCTTAGGACCACAGAGCAAGGCCTTAGGACCACAGAGTAAGGCCTTAGGACCACAGAGTAAGGCCTTAGGACCACAGAGCAAGGCCTTAGGACCACAGAGTAAACCCTTAGGACCACAGAGTAAGGCCTTAGGACCACAGAGCAAGGCCTTAGGACCACAGAGTAAGGCCTTAGGACCACAGAGCAAGGCCTTAGGACCACAGAGCAAGGCCTTAGGACCACAGAGCAAGGCCTTAGGACCACAGAGTAAGTCCTTAGGACCACAGAGTAAGTCCTTAGGACCACAGAGTAAGGCCTTAGGACCACAGAGCGAGGCCTTCAGCGTGGTCACGCCCGGACGTGAGGCTCAACACTTTCACTGTCTCTAAGTCTCTCACTGCAACAAAGGATTTAGTCAAAAACTGCTCCAATTCTGCCTCAAATCTAGATTAAAAGATTAAAAGATACAGAAATGTCTCCCTTGGAGTAAGGAAATAAAGAAACAGTTCTTGAAATCCGACTAAATGTATTTGTCCCGTTGGAGAATCTGGTTGGAACAGTCTGAAAACAGTCAACATAATCTAATCTTTTACAGACTTCAGATCGTCACAGGAAATTCTCAAATGATTCACAGAAAATAGTATCATCTGTGTTTGATTTAAAACATGTGAAATAAAACCAGATGGACTCAAATCACAGAGATGCCAACAGCCTAGCAACCAAAGAGCCAATCAAGAGCTGCCATTCACAAACACAAGCCATTGAGGTAGCAGGTTAGCATTGAGGTAGCCTGCTAGCATTGAGGTAGCAGGTTAGAAATGTACATATTTATCCATCTGCACTGTGCCTGGGTTCTTATGGTGTGACTAAAAAGTCGCTGGTGTTTGTTTTGCAGCTTCAACTCTAAAGATCAAAGTCCTGAGAACGACACCAGCTCCAGAAGAAGACGAGGATTATGACGACTACGATAAGGAGACACCACAATCACCTGCTGCGACTTCTACCACTTCTACCATCAGGACTTCTACCACCACGACCACCCACCGCGCTCCGCCAGCCCGACGAGTGCGCCCGCTATCACAGACCCGATCTTACCACAATGTTTTCTCCTCTGTCCGAGGGTCCGTGAGAAATGGACATAGAGGAAGTTCCAAATTGAAAGAACCGACGACAATGACACCAACTACAACTAAAGCTACTACAACTAAAGCTACTACAACTAAAGCTGCTACAACTAAAGCTGCTACAACTAAAGCTACTACAACTAAAGCTACTACAACTAAAGCTGCTACAACTAAAGCTACTACAACTAAAGCTGCTACAACTAAAGCTGCTACAACTAAAGCTACTACAACTAAAGCTACTACAACTAAAGCTACTACAACTAAAGCTACTACAACTAAAGCTACTACAACTAAAGCTCCTCTCCCCAAAACTACATTGGAGCAAAATAATGATGTGTTGGAAGAAGACAGAGAAAGTTTGACATCTGCAACACCGAATTTAAAAGTAGTCACTCAATCACCATCTAAAAATAGAAAACCTCAGCAAAGAAGACCTGTCAAAATCAGAGTACACCAAAAACCTGGCTCCAAAACATCGTCTTTGTCAAAAACAGAATCTTCTGTTGGAAATTCCCACGTTACGACAACTACAGTGACACCAAATATTCAACAAGCTACAAAAATAGACCATACAGTAACCACGGCTCCAGACAGGAAATATGTACATGACCCATCTGTGCGCAGCAAGGAGCCTTTTCTGAGACTGCGGAATGGACATCTGCAGCCAGAAAAGACGGAGATAAGTGGTGGTGTCAGGGGCCGAGCAGGCTTTGGTGGAAGGTACAGCTTTAACAGAAGAAATGCTCACGTTTTATTGAGAGGAAATGGGACTCGGAATGGGAATAGACCTGTTAAACCATCGTCTGGGTCGTCCAGTGTTCTTAGTAAGAGTCAAAGTAGTTCAAACGCACATGGTTCAACCAGAGGAGTTTCAGTTTTAAGTCAACAAGAGACGGCAGGGACTGAGCATGGTTCAAATCTGGACCAAAATTCAAGACAAGCTTCAAGTAGAACAGAAGAGAGAAGTGAGGACAGATATTCTATCGTTGAGCAAGATTCCAATTCTAAAGACACCTCCAAGACTTTAAAAAAAAATGTGTTGAAAGTTGAAAACTCCAATTCTTATTTAAAACAGACGTCTCAGTCCATGAGTCGAACAGATTTGGACTCAGCGGGATCGGATAACACTGAAAATCCACAACAACATTTACAAATTGATAGAAATAATAATGATAGGAACAAATATGAAGCTTCCAGAACTCCAGGAAAGACCGTCTCGGGAAAATCCACTTTGGAATCTGCCACGTCAGAAAACACCGACGGAGAAAGCGAAGAACGTCAAACTTTTCACTTTTCCGCTGAAGAAAAGACTACTTTGCAATCTCCTGTTTTGGAATCTTCCGAAACCGCTGCAAGTTCGAAAGAGGGAAACGATGACGACCAAGACAAAACATCTACGTCTGACTCAAAGACGCACGATTCAGACGGCGAGAGGACGGGCTCGCCATCGCGGGCCAGGATCAGCTCATCGCTCCTGGACAAATATCCATGGCTCGCAGCTCGATACCCTCACAGGTTCGGATCCGTCTCAAGATCCTCTGCTTCTGTTCCGATTTCGAGACAAGACCCTCGGACTCCGCAATCCAGGACCAACTCTTCACTCGCGGTGAGTCCAAGGGGTCTACCAACTCGAGTTTCAGGGGCCACCGGTGCTAGAGGGGTGTCCATAAGCCAAGAGACAAAACTATCAAGCAGAAAGGACACAAGTGCTCTCACTTTGGACTCTTTGAAGAATAGCATGGAGGTAATAAACCCGACTGTAAGTGAAGGAGTTGGTGAAACCGCGAGAAAACCAGGTCCAAGTTCTGTCCATTTGACCGATTCTGATTCTATTGACAATGAAAGTCACGGACCAGACGATGGGGAAGAAACAAAGGAGAAATTGGATCTGAAAAATGCTTCTAGTAAAATCACAGAGAGCATTGATCCAACCAAAACCAGGACCAGTCCATCCACAGCCAAGACCGGGACCAGTCCATCCACAGCCAAGACCAGGACCAGTCAATCCACAGCCAAGACCGGGACCAATCCATCTACAGCCAAGACCGGGACCAGTCAATCCACAGCCAAGACCGGGACCAATCCATCCACAGCCAAGACCAGGACCAGTCCGTCCACAACACAGCGAAGGGCGGGTTCAGGAAGCAACGAGAGAGTACAACCCTCGCTTCTGCCAATCAAACGAGACCCTGGGACTCGGGCTCTGGTCCGACCAGCGCAAAAGTTCGAGTCTGAGTCTGCGCTGGACAACAGCCGAGGGAGTGCTCTGAGCAGGACCGGGGGCTCGCTGCTCCATGGGGGGTCCATGAGAGAGGGTTTCAGAGGCCAGGGGGGGAGGGCCCGTCATCCAATCAGAGGGAAGCTAAGAAACGGAGGAGGTGGGACCAAGCCGGGCCGTGGGAACGGTAAGGCTGCTCTGAAGTGAAAAATTTGATGGTTCGAAGGTTACGTCCCCCAGCTTTAAGTTGTGTGATGATTGTGTTGATTGTGTTGATTGTGATGATTGTGTTGATTGTGATGATTGTGTTCATTGTGATGATTGTGTTCATTGTGATGATTGTGTTGATTGTGTTGATTGTGTTGATTGTGATTGTGTTGATTGTGATGATTGTGTTGATTGTGTTGATTGTGATGATTGCGTTGATTGCGTTGATTGCGTTGATTGTGTTGATTGTGTTGATTGTGATGATTGTGTTGATTGTGTTGATTGCGATGATTGTGTTGATTGTGATGTTTGCGTTGATTGCGTTGATTGCTTTGATTGCGTTGATTGCGATGATTGCATTGATTGCGTTGATTGCAATGATTGCGTTGATTGCGTTGATTGCGTTGATTGTGATGATTGTGTTGATTGTGTTGATTGTGTTGATTGTGATGATTGAGTTGATTGCGTTGATTGTGGTGATTGTGTTGATTGTGATGATTGTGTTGATTGTGATGATTGTGTTCATTGTGATGATTGTGTTGATTGTGATTGTGTTGATTGTGATGATTGTGTTGATTGTGATTTGTGTTGATTGTGATGATTGTGTTGATTGTGATGATTGTGTTGATTGTGTTGATTGTGATGATTGTGATGATTGTGTTGATTGTGTTGATTGTGATGATTGCGTTGATTGCGTTGATTGCGATGATTGCGTTGATTGTGTTGATTGTGTTGATTGTGATGATTGCGTTGATTGCGTTGATTGTGATTATTGTGTTGATTGTGATGATTGCGTTGATTGCGTTGATTGCGTTGATTGCGATGATTGTGATGATTGTGTTGATTGTGTTGATTGTGATGATTGCGTTGATTGCGTTGATTGTGATGATTGTGTTCATTGTGATGATTGTGTTGATTGTGATTGTGTTGATTGTGATGATTGTGTTGATTGTGATGATTGTGTTGATTGTGTTGATTGTGTTGATTGCGATGATTGCGATGATTGTGTTGATTGTGATGATTGCGTTGATTGCGATGATTGTGTTGATTGTGATGATTGTGTTGATTGCGTTGATTGCGTTGATTGCGTTGATTGCGATGATTGTGATGATTGTGTTGATTGCGTTGATTGCGTTGATTGTGATGATTGTGTTCATTGTGATGATTGTGTTGATTGTGATTGTGTTGATTGTGATGATTGTGATGATTGTGATGATTGTGTTGATTGTGATGATTGTGTTGATTGTGTTGATTGTGTTGATTGTGTTGATTGTGTTGATTGCGATGATTGCGATGATTGCGATGATTGTGTTGATTGTGATGATTGCGTTGATTGCGATGATTGTGTTGATTGTGTTGATTGTGATGATTGCGTTGATTGCGATGATTGCGATGATTGTGTTGATTGTGTTGATTGTGTTGATTGTGTTGATTGCGTTGATTGCGATGATTGCGATGATTGCGATGATTGTGATGACTGTGTTGATTGTGTTGATTGTGATGATTGTGTTGATTGTGTTGATTGTGATGATTGCGTTGATTGTGTTGATTGTGATTATTGTGTTGATTGGTGATTGTGATTATTGTGTTGATTGTGTTGATTGTGTTTATTGTGATGATTGTGATGATTGTGTTGATTGTGTTGATTGTGTTGATTGTGTTGATTGTGTTGATTGCGATGATTGCGATGATTGCGATGATTGCGATGATTGCGTTGATTGCGTTGATTGCGTTGATTGCGATGATTGCGTTGATTGCGTTGATTGCGTTGATTGTGATTATTGTGTTGATTGTGATGATTGTGATGATTGTGTTGATTGCGTTGATTGCGATGATTGTGATGATTGTGATGATTGTGATGATTGTGATGACTGTGTTGATTGTGTTGATTGTGTTTATTGTGATGATTGTGATGATTGTGTTGATTGTGTTGATTGTGTTGATTGTGTTGATTGCGATGATTGTGTTGATTGCGATGATTGCGATGATTGCGATGATTGCGTTGATTGCGTTGATTGCGTTGATTGCGTTGATTGTGATGATTGCGTTGATTGCGTTGATTGCGTTGATTGTGATTATTGTGTTGATTGTGATGATTGTGTTGATTGTGTTGATTGCGTTGATTGCGTTGATTGCGTTGATTGTGATGATTGTGATGATTGTGATGATTGTGATGATTGTGATGACTGTGTTGATTGTGTTGATTGTGTTTATTGTGATGATTGTGATGATTGTGTTGATTGTGTTGATTGTGTTGATTGTGTTGATTGCGATGATTGCGTTGATTGCGTTGATTGTGTTTATTGTGTTGATTGTGTTGATTGTGTTGATTGTGATGATTGCGTTGATTGTGTTTATTGTGATTATTGTGTTGTGTTGATTGTGATGATTGTGTTGATTGTGATTATTGTGTTGATTGTGTTGATTGTGATGATTGCGTTGATTGTGTTTATTGTGATTATTGTGTTGATTGTGTTGATTGTGATGATTGCGTTGATTGTGTTGATTGTGATTATTGTGTTGATTGTGTTGATTGTGATGATTGTGTTGATTGCGATTATTGCGTTGATTGTGATGATTGTCAATCAATCAATCAAAGTTTATTTGTAGAGCGCCTTTCATACACAGGGCAACACAAAGTGCTTCACAGTCCACATCACAAATCATCACATAAAACAAACACCAGAATCACAATTAAAACATTAAAATCACACAAAAGATTAAAACACAATTAAAACATTAAAATCACACAAAAGATTAAAACACAATTAAAACATTAAAATCACACAAAAGAATAAAACCATTAAAACTTTCAAAATTACACAAGAAATAAAAAAAATAAAAAAAAAAAATGACAACAGTGCATTAGAAATGGAGATAAAATCCTTCAGTTGTAGCACAGGCAAACAGAACAGTCTTTAACCTGGATTTGAACGTTGACAGAGTAGACGCCTCCCTCACATTTTCAGGGAGATTGTTCCAGATCTTAGCTGCATGGATCTGAAACGCAGCCTCCCCATGTTTGGTTCTCACTCTGGGCACCAGCAGGAGGCCAGTCCCTGTGCTCCTCAGAGTCCCAGCAGGAGGCCAGTCCCTGTGCTCCTCAGAGTCCCAGCAGGAGGCCAGTCCCTGTGCTCCTCAGAGTCCGGGCTGGTTCATATGACACCAACATGTCACTGATGTATTTTGGTGCAAGGCCATGGAGAGACTTGTACACAAGCAGAGCTGTTTTAAAATCTATTCTCTGAGCCACAGGAAGCCAGTGCAGAGACCTGAGGACCGGACTAATATGGTCGTACTTCCTGGTTCCTGCCGGACTCTAGCTGCTGCATTTTGGATGTACTGCAGCTGCTTACAGGTCTGTTTGGACAGACCTGTGAGCAGGCCATTGCAGTAGTCTAGCCTGCTGGAGACAAATGCATGGACAAGAATCTCCAAGTCTGCCCTGGACACTATATTTCTAACTTTGGAAATGTTCTTCAGATGGTAAAAAGCTGTTGATGTTATTGATTTTATGTGGCTATTGAAATTTAGGTCTGAGTCCAGTATTACCCCCAAATTTCTGACCTTGTCTGAAGGAAGTAGGGAGAGAGACTGAAGTTGACAAATGGCGCCCTCTCTTTGTTTCTGGGGACCAAAGACAATGATTTCGGTTTTGTCTGCATTTAGCTGAAGGAAATTATTTTGCATCCAGTCACTGATCTGTTGGATACAGTGAAGGAGTGAGTCCACTGGTCCATGTTCTCCTGCAGTCAGTGAGACATAGATCTGAGTGTTGTCAGCGTAATTGTGGTAGGACACTTTGTTTCTTTGTATTAACTGACCTAACGGCAGCATGTAGAGATTAAATAGGTGAGGTCCCAGGATCGACCCCTGTGGTACTCCACAGGTCAGGGCCACATGATCTGAGACGCAGTCTCCAATCTCCACAAAGTACTTCCTATCCTCCAGGTAAGACCTAAACCAGTCTAGGGCTGTGCCAGTGACACCAACCCAGTCCTCCAGTCTCTGCATGAGGATCTCATGGTCGACAGTGTCGAACGCTGCACTAAGATCTAACATGACCAAAACTGTGACTTTACCTGCATCAGTGTGAAGTCGAATGTCGTTTGTTACCTTCACTAGAGCGGTCTCAGTGCTGTGGTGGGGTCTAAACCCAGACTGGAACATATCAAAAGAATTATTCATTGTTAAAAATTCAGTAAGTTGTTGGGAGGCCACTTTTTCAAGAATTTTTCCAATGAATGGCAGATTCGATATGGGGCAATAATTTTGAAGTCCCGCAGGATCCAGACTGCTCTTTTTTAGGAGAGGTCTTATGACTGCTGTTTTTAGGGCCATAGGAAATGTTCCTGACGACAGAGACATGTTTACTATTTGTGTCAGTGAAGGTAACAAACTGCTCAGGACGGACTTCAGAAATTTTGAGGGTAATATATCCAGGCTACATGTGGAGGAGCTCAGACTCATGATTATCTTTTTGACAGTTTCAGTATCCACAGGTGCAAAGTGAGTTAGCTCAAAAAGCTTCTCTGGCTGTTGCATTGTTATACGTGCTGTGGAGGTGATAGTGTTTTTGATTCCTTGTACTTTGTCATCAAAAAACTGTGCAAACTCATTACACCTAGATTTAGAGGAAAATTCTAGGGGCAACTTTACAGGGGGGTTCGTTAATCTACCAACTGTTGAAAACATAACACGAAGATTGTTACTGCAACCTCCAATAATGTCAGAAAAATACATTTCTCTTGTTCTACGTAAAACCCGGTTAAATTCACCCAACTCATCTTTAAAGATTTCATAATCGCTCTGGAAATTGGACTTTCGCCACTTCCGTTCGGCCCTCCGGCACTCTTGCTTCTGTGCCCTGACCGAGTCTGCCTTAGTCCATGGGGTCTTTTTCTTACTGGTAACTATTTTAACCGTCACAGGAGCAATGGCGTCCAGAACAGTCAGAACACTGGTGGTGACAGAGTTATACAATTCATCAACAGTAGAGC